ACCAGCTTGTCCGACCGCGATCTTTATGCAAAATTCCTGTTTCGTACATTATTTCATAGTGACTGGAATAAGAGAAAAAAGATGATCCCGTTGTGTTCAAATGAAAATAATATGTTCGAGTATCGTTAATCGCTTTAGACCGGTCGAGAAAATCGTATGCACCTGAACGCGATACACCGAACCAATAAATTCTCCCTGATTGACGCTCAGATTGGGCACGAAAATGCACAATTTGGGAAGAGGAGATGCGATTGTTCGAGCCTTGCTGCTCGTTTTTATAATTGTTGACAATTGGCAATTGTAAAAACGTGTCTCCTCAACCGTCGTTCGTACAATAAATTTCGCTTGATTGACGCTCAGATTGCGCACGAAAATGGACGATTCGGAAAGAGGAGATGCGATTGTTCAAGCCTTGCTGCTCTTTTTTATAGTTTTTGACAATCGGCAATTATAAAAACGTGTCTCCTCAGCCGTCGTTCGTACAATAAATTTCGCTTGATTGACGCTCAGATTGCGCACGAAAATGGACGATTCGGAAAGAGGAGATGCGATTGTTCAAGCCTTGCTGCTCTTTTTTATAGTTTTTGACAATCGGCAATTATAAAAACGTGTCTCCTCAGCCGTCGTTCGTACAATAAATTTCGCTTGATTGACGCTCAGATTGCGCACGAAAATGGACGATTTAGAAAGAGGAGATGCGATTGTTCGAGCCTTGCTGCTCGTTTTTATAATAGAGCCGTTTATTTTGAAAGTGGCATAAGTCACTTTGTTTTTAAATCGATACATTTAAGGGTTTGCGTTTTTTTAACACGTTTAAAAATATGGATGCTAACTTTCGAGAAGATTTACTTGTATTTGTTATCTCGGGATACTGATATTTTTCTCGGTATAAATAATTTCGTATAAACATTAAAAAATCACCACTTTTCATTACGGTAAAGTGACTTATGCCACTTTCAAAATAAACGGCTCGATTGTTGACAGTTGGCAATTATAAAAACGTGTCTTCTCAACCGTCGTTCGTACAATAAACTCCCCCTGATCGACGCTCGTTTTCATAATTGTTGACAATTGGCAACTATAGAAACGTATCTCCTCGATCAGCAAGAATTTCCCGTAGTCCGATGAAGCTTCGTAAAGAAATGACAACGATTTCGTGAAAGCTAACAATTCGGCGATTCGAAATAAGGAATGAAAAGTAAGCAATTGCACCGTTATTTATGAAAAATATTCAGAGAACGACGTTCTCGCAACTAAAAGGGTCGCTAAAAGGGTTAACGTCCGTGAACGTCCGATGTTTTCTCGCGTCGAATACTTCCGCGGATGCCACGAACGCGCGTAGCCAGAGAGACCCGCGATTCGCTCATAGCCGAAGCATTCTTTCTCGATGTACGTGTCCCCCTCGTCCGCGATACGTAGCCCGCGGAAGATCGAGAGCCGTGGAACAAACGATCGATAAACGAGGTGTATTCTCGAGCGAGAAAATACGAGCGAGCGATAGGCGTCGGGCGCCTCTGGGTAACGTTAAACGCGTGAGAGAGTTTGCCCTTCGTGCAAACAAGATCGTCCTCGTATTTTAGCTCGGCAATCTTCGGGTCTAATGTTAATTACGTTTGTTCTCCGATCGGGCGTCGGGGCGGCCCAGCGTCGAGCGAAATAATCGGTGGAACGGTAATCATACGCAGCAGAACCGAAGCGAAGGGCGGTGAACCGTGGAAATGGTTCGTCCGGTGGTCGTCGGGATGCCCTTTCTGCCTAGCCACACGATAATCGTGGATTTCCGTCCGCTTATTATCTTACGCGCGTCACAATGCTGTTTAGATTGCGTCCAGGTAACGGCTAATTAGCGATTCGATGGTGTCCCCTGGGCCGGCGACGCTCTTCCACGTGGCGGCGAACGTGGCGACGTGAACGCGACACCGCGCAACGTCTCCCCGAAGAGAATCGAGAGCAATATCGATGCCCTCGAAGCCGCGGTACCGAGGTTCTCACCGATTCGCGATCGACGCGTAGATACCGTCCTCGCCGTGAAAGAGCGGACGGGTAAATCGAAGCGCGAACGAGCAAATCGTTGATCGCGTCGTTGCCTCCGTCGGCTCTTACAATTAGTGAAGTCTCAGAGCCGACGCAATTCCGCCGAGATTTCGCTTGCTAAAACACGATAATGGTAACGGTATCAAAAAACCGGTTTTATATTATAGACGCAGCCGCGGTGTCGCCGGTCTTCATTGTAGAAAATCCGACGGACGTGTCGCGTTCGAAAGTTCGTCCCGCAAAAAAAAAGCAACTCAGAGATCGCGCAGCCTCGATAAGATTAGAAGCGAGAAGAAAGGCTTTCGAATTTTTGGTTAGTGTCCCCTCCACCCCGCGATTTCTAATCGACCGTCGACCTCGGCTCGGGTTTCGTAAGTCGTAGAACCGAACGGATCGACCACGAGTCGTATTCGTTTGCTATTTGACCCATTGACTGCCAATTACGAGATACAGTAATGTCTCCCTTACCGACGCTCGGATTGTCCACGAAAATGGACAATTTGGGAAGAGGCGATACGATTGTTCGAGCCTCGCGGCTCGTTCTTTTTATAGTTACCAATTGCCAATACATATAAAAACGAGCCAAAATGCTCGAACGATCGTATCTTCTGTACCTAAATTGTCCATTTTTGTAGACGATCTGAGCGTCAATTAGGGAGACATTACTGTATCTCGTAGTAAGCGTCTGTATCAAAATTGCCAGCTACGAGATATCTCGTAGTGGGTGCTGCAAGTTTAGATCGGCCACAAATGGCTATTCGAGCTAGGAACTATTAGAAAAGATGAATGAAAAATGTATAATAAATAAAATAAAAATATAATAATAATAATAATAATAATAATAACAATATATAATAATAATATAATATAATAAAATATAATAAATGTATAATAATAATATAATAAAATAAAATATAATAAATGTATAATAAATGTATAGCGTAGAGAACATATTGATTATCAATAAAAAAAATACTGCAAATGCCATTGCAATATTATATCGGTAACTTAATATGATTATATTTTGTAAAACTTCGTGTTTTCTTTAAAACAAAACCGTGGCACCCAGGGCAAGAAGCGCTAAATTTGCGTGACAGTCAATGGGTCAACTGCTATTTAACGTTATTTATTCGGCTGTCCGATATTACAGCAATGTCTCCCTTACCGACGCTCAGATTGTCCACTAAAATGGATAATTTGGGAAGAAGAGATACGATTTATTATTCGAGCCTCGCGGCTCGTTTTTATAATTGTGGACAATTCATAACTATAACAATAAACCGCAAGGCTCGAATAATCGTATCTCCTCTTCCCAAATTGTCCATTTTTGTGGTCAATCCGGGCGTCAATTAGAGAGACATCACCGTATCGGCGATCGGTTGCGCGACGCTCGATATTCCTAGCTGACGGACCGAACGCGTGTCGCCACGTGTCTTGCTCTGTGTACACAGAGTTTCGATTAACAAGAAATGTTTTTTTTTATGAAAAAAAAAGAAACGGACAGACGAGCCTGCGGATCTAATACGATTTAGATTATAACGGCTATAGATCGGCGACTGGTCAACGAAGGAGGAGACTCTTCGTCGATCGCGCGGAACGATGCGAACGCCGCGAAGCGATTATCTCGGAGAAAAAAAAGTGGGCGATTATTTCGGAATGAATCGATTGGGTGGGAAGAGTTTAGAATTCGGGATCTATATAAAAAAAGAGCAAAGGGACGCGGCGGTGTGGCGGATGCGGACTATGTGTACCTGGTGTGCACGCACTCGCAATCGGAAAGAGAGAAAGCGAGGACGAGATGGAGAGAGAGGAAAGATAAAAAAAGGAGCACGAAAGAGGGGAAAAAGGAGAGAAACGTGTGCACGGTTCAAGTTCCTCGGTAAGATGGAAAGGCGTGCGACGCGTGTCCCAGACGGACGGCGTATCAAAGAATATTTGCCCTGTCAACACGCGGCTTAGCGCGGAAACGCCGCTGCGTCTAGAAAGGAACAACGGATCGCTCGGAGCAAGATAATAGTAATGGAAATTATTACTTTGCTCTAATATTTTACGATCCAGCGCTTCCCTGGAATCGATACGTTATCTTGCAGACGTTTCCACGCGCGCGTACACGCGTAGATATGTCGTAAGGATGTACGTGCACACTTCCGTGGCTCGGTGAAACCGTTGTTCCGTCGTAACCGATTATGCGAGTTAATTGCGACGCAGGAAGCACGGATGCAGCCTCGATTATCCGTGCTAAACGGAGTGACACGAATCTTCGAATAATAGAACAGCTTGCATTAGTTGCAGCGCGCGGATCTCGATCTTCATCGATTCCGACAGTAATTTCAGACGGTAATTTCTCCATAATTAGCGCTCGGATCGCGCGCAGGAATGGACAATTCGAGTAGAGGAGATACGTTTGTTCGAGCCTCGCGGTCCGTTTCTACAGCATCCGATCGTCGACGATCACAAAAACGAGAGATGCAAGGCTCGAATAATCTTATATCATCTCTCCTCAAATTCTCCCATTTCTCGTGCGCGATCCGAGCGCGAATCGGGAAAAAGAAATCACCGTGCCTCGACAATAGAGAATTCTGACACATCGGAGATTCTCGTTTGCTCTCGCTTGTTTCGGCCATCGTTCAACCGGGGCGGCCGTTTTATTCGGCGCAAGGTCGAAGGAACGAGGCCTAATCGAATAGGTCCTGGCGCTCTCCTCTTAATTAGGAGAGCCGCTCAATCGATAATAAAGGATACCGCGGTCCCGGCGTGTTCCAAATAACCGGAATCGACCGTGTATAACGTATTTCGGAAGGAAATTTAATCGACGGACGGGGGGTTCGGGTGGCGGAATCTCGGGGGAGGGATTCTCCGTCCACGATGAAGATAAACGAAACGAGAAACGAAACAAGAAAATAGAACGGGACGAAAACGAGAAGAGCGAAACGAAATGGAATACGGAAAGGAATTGGAATATTCACCTGCATCTGCAGCCACGAGTAATCGATGTAGGTGGTTGTTGTAGCAGCGGTGACGGCGCCGGCGACGCTGGAAGCGGACGAGATTTGCTGCCAGTTATCCTGACCGGTGCAGCCGAGTACCGGCAATCCGTCGGGCTGACCCCGATCCGGCACTATCTGATCGGCATACTGATAGGGTGGCTGAACCGTCGTCGGTTGTCCGCCGGAAGGCAAGCTCGCTGGATGAGGATGAGGGTGCTGGGCCCCCGAGCCGGCACTGGCGGGCAAGCAGCACACGCTCACGTCCATCCGTGGTGGCGGAGAGTCGTAGAAACGTTGCTGCTCCGGCACCGGCTCCGGCTCCGGCACCGGCTCCGATTCGAACTGCTCCCAAATCGACCTCCCAAGGGTCAGCCCCCGCGGAACCATCCAATCTGAGACCCGGCACCTCTCTTGTTAGATTCGTCGGTCGAACTCCGCGATATCGAGGATACCGATGCGTCGCCCTTGCGCGCCCTGCTTTTTCGCCTTACCCGCGCGTCTCTCGCGTCCTCCTGCGTGCCCTAAGCTCTGTGTCGCGCGTCTTCCTCCGACGTCCTACCGCGTAGTCGCGTTTTTTACTACCCTTCCTCCATCGATTCAACGTTTCGTCGGAGTCGGAAATCCTCGCGGGGTCATCGCTCGGCGCGCACTATCGTCCCCGGGCCAGAACGCCGGATGATATCGATGCTATCCGATGATTCGTAGAGTACACGGTGTCACACCGTCGTTGTCCCGGTACCGTTGTCGTCTCCTTCGACGAAAGAACGAATCGAACGAGCTGGCCGACGAACGAAACGACGGCTCATTTTTCCCCGATGTGCCTCCGGTTGGTCCCGCGCAAACCCGACCCAGAACGATCGTCGCACGCGCGCACCTTGTCAATACTCGGACGTCACCACTACTGCCATCGCACCACTTTGCTTCTGTGTTCTCCCCCTTCGAGTTCGAACGATCCGCGAATTTCCTATTTGAGCCGGAAACGGGTAACGGACGTCGTCGACGCGCGCGTCGAGATCGCCGAATCATCGGCTCGCGTCCCGAGGTCCATCGTCCTCGCGACGGCTCTTCTCCTCCCCTTGCGTCGTCCCTCGGGGTAAGGTTCGTTCGGATCCTGCGGCGATCTTCAGACTCGGATGCACGGTCGCCAACGGTTCCGAGCCACGAAAACGGCTAGCATAGTGATTCGCCAAATCGTTCAACAGGACCAGCTATCCGGCCGCGTGTTCTCTCGAGTCGGCTTTCGTTCGTCTCTCGGCGTTGCAACTCTCGGATCGCGATCCGAGCTACTCGAATTTCACTGTCGGCGAACGCGTTCCGCGATCGCAGTTTCGTCGACGCGCTGGCCTCGAGGGCGGCACCACGTTTTTACGGCCGACCGTTTCGAAAACCGCGCCTGCGCACACACTCACAGAATCGACCGATTTCGGGCTGCGTAAACGGGCGAACGTCTTGCGGGAACGTTGACGTCGAAGAGTTCGTTCGACGGACGCGGGACGCGGAAGCGACGGAACGTCCTCGCATTTATGCCTCGACTTACGACGGCCCGGTGGCAATCTATACATGTATTGTCGATTTCCGAGCGACCCGCGAGATCCAAGGGGACGACGAACGCCGGACTCCGTCGGACTGACGTTGGACCGTGATATCACTGGTAACGAAACATATCGGTCGGACGTGTTCAAGAACCGCGCCGACAGCGGACGGATCGACGACAACTCTGATACGGTCGCGCCTTATCGCGTTCACCGTCGACGCATGACAACCGGACACTCTTAGCCGCGATACGCGAATCTCGAAACGCGCGGAAAGAAAGAGGAAGAGGTGGAGAACGTGGCGACGCGGCAGAGGGAGAACGAACGGCAAGAGGAGGAAATGGACGTGCCGACGAATCTGGCGGTGGGGATGTTTGGGGTGGAGGTGGACGTGGAGGTGGAGTCTCACAGTCACAATCACGATCACGGTGATAGTCACGGTACGGTCGCAGTCACGGTTAGAGTCGGAATCGGAATCACAGTCACAGTCTTAGTCACGGTCGGAGAAGAAACGACCGAAAAAAAAAAGAAAAGAAAAACAGTCGACTCGGCGATCGCCGATTGAACGTTCTCTTAAAAGTTTCAGAGAGCGGCGGTTGAATCAAGGGTGAGAACGAGTTCGAGGAAATAGAAATTTTGGAAAAGTCCCGCGACGAACAGCTACGGGGTAGCGACGAATATACAATGCGCGCCAACAATGTAGAGTCGCTGGCGCCGATGGTCCCGCCGCCGAGTACGAACACGTTCTCACCGATGACAGCGCGTGCTCCCCTTGACACGAGCCGCTCTTCTCTTTTTGCCCCCGGCCACCTTCCCACCCCCTCCCCCGCACGCACACGTACACACTCTCTCTCTCTCACTCTCTCTCTCTCTTTTCTCTCTTTCTCGTTCCCTTCCAGCCACCGTTTACCACCCCTGCTGCCAACCACCTTCTTTCTGCCAGGGCGCAGGGAACGAACGAGGTAACGGTGTACCCAATTTACAGGGGGAGGCTCCAATGTACCGACGCGTCGGAGAAGCAGCAGCAGCAACAGCAGCAGCAATGGCAAGGGTGGTGGTGGTGGTGGTGGTGGTGGTGGTGGTGGTGGTGGTGGTGGTGGTGGTGGTGGTAATAGTGGTGGTGGTAACGGTGGTGGTAACGGTGGTGGTGGCGATGGTAGCAGCGATGGTGGTGGCGACGACGACGGTGGTGGCAGTGGTAGCAGTAGCAGCGGCAGCGTCGACAACGACGACGACGACGACGGCCACGGAGGTGTCGACGAGCGATGGCAATGGAGAAGAAGAAACGACGATGGAGGTGGAGAAAAGGCAGTGGTAGTGGCAAATGCGAGGGTGGCGAACGCAACTGGTGCTCGTGACGAGATAGCGGTGCAGTCGGTATCGCGTACGCGCATGCGTGAACACGTGTCGTCAAGGCAACGGTTCCGGAGTAACTGCCCGGTGAACGCAGCCCTCCGCGATCGCCGCTCTTTTCACTCTTTCACTCTCTCCGTCTCCCTCCTTCCCGATCTCCCGTTGGTCCGCCCTCGTCTCTCTCTCGCGTCGCGATCGCGGTTCGGCTTCGTTGCTCCAAGCTCGCGTCTGCTCGTAAGCACTCGTGGACTCGTGGCTCGTGCTTCTGGCTCTGGCTCAAGCTCTGGCTCTGGCTCTGGCTCTGGCTCTGGCTCTGGCTTCGGCTTCGGTTCTGGCTGGCTCACGCCTCGGGCGCGACCGATCCGCGCAGTCTAGGCGGCCATCAAGCACGCCCCCGTCTCGTTCTGTACTCTCGACCGCTCTCTCAACCTCCCTGCCCTCCCTTCTCCTCTTCCTTCTCTCTTCCGCCTTTTGCCCTTTTCGCCGCGACGCGATCCTATGCGATCTTACGCGGTGCGATACGTTGCGACGCGACGCGACACACACTCCTCTATTCCGTTCTCCGTCCCTCTCTTCGATGTTTCCTCGTACATTACTCTTAGCACGCTCCCTCCTCGTCGACTCGTTTGTATTTTCTCCTCCTTTCTCTTCTCGCGCGCTCCTCTCGCTCTTCCATTCTGTGCTTTCGTTCTCTCCTCGTTTCTCTCGTACAATCTTTCGCTCTCGTTCTCTCGTCGTTCCTTCTTCGCCTTCCGCCGCGGCCGCCAAGAAACAGTATTACACGGTGTACCATACACCATGCCATCGTACCATACGCGGGGAATACGATTATCGGTATCGCGCGAAAGCGCTATCGACGAACGTGTCGCGCCTCCCCTCGATACGACCCCTCCCCCGCCATTACAGTTTTACGAACATCGACGTCCTCTTATCGGGAATTCTTTTCTCCTTTCGATCGAGTTTCGTGGGTTTCGATAGGTTTTCGGTAGAGGCTAGATCGTGCGAACAAATGTTCGCCGGCCGTTCGAGTCCCGTTCTGTCCGCGGCTGCGAAACCTCGTCTTTGTCTGGCCCGCGAGATTTTCTTCTCTCGATCTTCCTCTCGGACAACGGGAACAGTCATAGCCATTACGCCAACGCTCGTCTGACGTCACCTTGGTGCGATTAAAGTTACCTTATAGTTACGTACCATAAGTAGATATACGTATGCGTATCTACACGCGTGTATGTTCCCTATTTGATCGCGCGCATCACGCGTCGCAAATCGACGGAATTATTTCCTATCGATCGAACCGATTCATCGAAGTTTCGCGCGCCCGATCCGTTCGCCGATGCTCGGCTCGTCGTATCGATCGATGCGAATGGAACAAAGATCTTTCGGAAGAATTGTGATTATATTTTTTTATTCTTTTATTTTTTATCTTTTTTGAGAAGAACGAGAACGTTGCGTGAACGTGAACCCGATCGCGTTCCCTGCCGAATTTGGAGCAGTTTGAAGCGCGACGCGTGTATTCGTTCTTGCATACATACATATACATACTGTGCATGATAATGCATGCAGCAACAAGCATCTCAAATCTCTCCCCTCCCACGATGCAGAGATTCCCTTTCTCTTTTAGATTGTGAAACGATTTTCTATCATGGCGCTTTAGCTCCGCGGATTTATTATATATGCAACGGGTTACGCAAATTACGACAAAGTGCAAATATTTCACATGACCTGCACCTGCATGACTCTCCTTTCTACGCGCGATCATTTAAGCAAACACGAGAATCGTAACGCGACGCGGTCTCACCGCGGATCTCCGATCCGACATGGGACTGGGATGCGGGACATGGGACAAGACCCGGTCCCCCCTGGCTTTACATGGATGTATACCGTACGATCTGAGCCACAACTGGCTGTTCTATATCATCCTCCAAATTTTCGAACATCTATTCCCTGGAAAAGTGTCTCGCATATTGAACATTGTAGCTCGCTAGGAATCGAGCAAGTTGATAGATCGAGTGTTGGAAACCGTTCGATTGCTTTCTTACGCTTTTCACGTTCTCGAAACCGATCGGTCCAAATAGCCGTAACGATAAAACTAGATATCGACAATATTTGCACCGTAAAAGTTCTTGCGCATACTTTAATAATCTCTTCGAGTAAGAGTACCTTTTCGTCTTCGAGGTTGATATTTGCCGTATGTGCTCGGTTAGTGAAAATTAGTACAATGTTCGCAAGCTATGCTTTTCAAATAAAACCCCACCAAGTTGTATAAATGACTAAACACAGCTAGAATTCGAGTTTATGCCTATGGTTATCCCCCACTGTCAGGACGGAAGCAACACAACTTATGAATGGAAGTGCCTTCTGATTGGTCGCCTTCGATAGCCAATGGCTGGTTGTACGCAGTTTCTTGCTGCGCAAATCCATGACAAATAATCCCAGCTAACGACGTTAGCGAACCAGGGCGGCGATGAAACGACGAAACGACTGTGAAAACCGTTCTGAGCTTCGAACTCCGTCACTCCTACTCCTAAATGTATCGTTGTCGTCCTGTCGAATCTACGATTGTATTCCCAAACCCGAGCGAGCCCGAGCTCCTGACGATACGATGACCCGTCGTGCACGACGATACGAAGCAGACGAAGCATTCTTTTGTACATCGTATATGTAGATTTATGGATGTTCGATTTTTAGCAAACGGAAATTAACTTGTTCTTCATTATTGTTTAACAATACAAATTTCTCGAGTATTATGGTGTTATTTCATTTATTGTTCTGTCGTTGCGAAACTATAAACCCTAATCCTAATCTACTAACTCTATCTGAACATTATCATCGTGAACGTGTGAAATTAGAATTTACAAATGGAAATTTTGTTTATCGATCTCCAATCATGAATCGGAAATCATCCAGTCTCAAATCATACGATGAAAATTTCTCGACTATTATGGTGTTATTTTATTTATTGTTCTGTCGTTGCGAAACTATAAACCCTAATCCTAATCTACTAACTCTATCTGAACATTATCATCGTGAACGTGTGAAATTAGAATTTACAAATGGAAATTTTGTTTATCGATCTCCAATCATGAATCGGAAATCATCCAGTCTCAAATCATACGATGAAAATTTCTCGACTATTATGGTGTTATTTTATTTATTGTTCTGTCGTTGCGAAACTATAAACCCTAATCCTAATCTACTAACTCTATCTGAACATTATCATCGTGAACGTGTGAAATTAGAATTTACAAATGGAAATTTTGTTTATCGATCTCCAATCATGAATCGGAAATCATCCAGTCTCAAATCATACGATGAAAATTTCTCGACTATTATGGTGTTATTTTATTTATTGTTCTGTCGTTGCGAAACTATAAACCCTAATCCTAATCTACTAACTCTATCTGAACATTATCATCGTGAACGTGTGAAATTAGAATTTACAAATGGAAATTTTGTTTATCGATCTCCAATCATGAATCGGAAATCATCCAGTCTCAAATCATACGATGAATCGGAACATTTCTAAGAATCAAAGAAAAGCATAAAGTATGAGAAAAGAAACGACATGCTTTCAGAAAATTATAGAACATCTTTTATAAGTAGCGTATGTCGGGCACTACTATAATTGTAAGAGCAACTACTTGTAAACATTATGTACATATATGTATTGTTTGAGTTCGGTTCAGTCCCGTCGACTCGATTGCGAATACAAGAATGTGTAACAAATACCAAACAGCAATTATTGACCCGCTAACGTATGGTAAGTATAGGGAAGGGATGTCGGTAACGCTCTTATGAGAGAGAAGCGACATTCTGTTGGGCACGTCAAGGTGATGCAAAGATGACACCTCAACGTTCTCGACAATACTATAGGAAATTGTACTCTTGTATCCCATATTCTGCCACCATTTATAGAACCTCCATTAAATCACGTATCATCGATTCTTATCAATTTTTTGTTTTTCTTTTGTTTATCGGCAAGATAAACAATATACATATATTTAACAGAGGCATCGTTTATCAAGTGTTTCAATTTATTGTTATCAATTTATTAATATAATACTTAGTATATTCTATATGAGAACTACAAATAACTATAGCTACAACATACACGTTGTTTCTTTTAAACCAAGATATTCTATTTCATATCTTCCATAATAAAAGTTGAATCATCCTCTAATAGTTCCATATCTTTAACAGGTTTCTTTTGTTCCACAGGACGACGGCTAAAAATTAAATTTTATTCCATAAAATTGACGTAATTAACTATTTCTAAATGACAAACTAAAGTTTAAACAATTTTATGGTCTTTTTCTTAAAATTCCTATTTCTTTCGTACCTTTGATAATATGGCGCTTGTCCATAATAAACTTTTCTGTTCTGTCTTCGTAATTCCTCGTATGTCGTATGTTGCTTCAAATTAATTGGTTTGTCTGTTTCAAGTGTATCGCTACTGATATCGATATTATCATCAGAAAATTGATTACCTTGAAACAAAATAAATCAGAATATTTCTAATGTCTACAAAACTATCTGGTTACATTAACGCTTACTATTATCATCGAAGCTTATGTCATAATTGCTTGATGTTGCTTGATCTTCTGTCCAATGTTCTCCCTCGATCTGATTCATGTATTGATCTCTTCTTCTAAACTCATATTAAATTGTTTTGTAATAACTAAAATTGGTTACAAGACAACTAAGAATTCATAATACCTGTGTATAGCATCTATTTTAGCTCTCATTAATTCTGGGAACTCAGGCACATATTTTTTTGCACAATTTCCCGCATACGATACTTTCCCTACATTATATCCAAATACTCCAAAACTTAAACTTATCGCTTTTCCCACTAATCCCAGTTTTCTATAATTACAGAGTGCATTAATAGATACATAAGACAATAATCCAAGAGGAATAGCACCATAGTAGATAGCTTCGCCACTCATACACTTTTTATATGCTTCTTTAGATTGTGATGATACTGGGACCTGCAACATAACAACGATTTCTAAATTTCATTTTAAATAATTTAACATTAACTTTTTGTTATAGTATAAAACAAAATTGTGCGCAAGTATTGTAGAAAGTTTGAATTGCAAGTATTGTTGAAAATTTGATTTTTATAATTTACCGATTCATCCAAAAGAAAGTCTAACGTATTTATCGATCGTCCGCTCATATTGGTAATTAAAAACAAATTATTTATAAAAACTTAATCACGTGTAAAATAACAAATGCATTATCGAATGTTATTGAAAAGAGTTATTCTAATTACAGTATGTCATACTGCACAGTAACACCACCAACGGCGTGTATCATAAACTACATACGTATATGTATGTAACTATATACATTTGTAGCATCTAACACATAAGCATATACACATAGTGTGCTAAAAAATATGTTGTGAAAATATTATACCCTACACATAGTACACATTTTCTTAGAATTCTCTGTATAGATAAATTTCAAAATAAAATTCTCTTATTGAAGAATACAATTTATGCATATTCATTTTCCTTCAAAGCTAATGTATATACATTATATCGTTTCCAACGATATGTGTATGCATACTATACTTTATTCAATAAAGGAATTAAATTTATGTTTCAATATACTTCAAAATGAAAATACATACGTNTTCAATATACTTCAAAATGTACATACATACGTGTGTGTGTGTGTGTGTATTTTCATTTTGAAGTATATATATAAGTACATTGTACGTACTTACATATAGTTCATGTACCATACGAGCAGCTTGTATGCACTTTTATTCTTTATTTATTTATGTGCGCACTTTACTATTTGTAATACTATGAAAAATAATAAGAAAATAAAATTAATTATGTGCAAATATTTAATTTAAATATAATCCAATAACCGTAAAAAGCAAGCAATATTTAC